TCCATGGTGGCTGTCGTCAATGAAGCAAAAATGGGCTCACCTTTCCGGAACATCTGGTCTATCTCTCCTGGTACTTATCATGACCTCCATGGTGGCTGTCGTCAATGAAGCAGGATATGCTCATCTTTCCGGAACATCTGGTCTAGCTCTCCTGGTACTTATCAAGGTCTCCGTGGTGACGTCCTTCAATGAAGAGAAGACGCTCACCTTCACCTTTCCGGAACATCTGGTCTAGCTCTCCTGGTACTTATCAAGGTCTCCGTGGTGATGTCCTCAATGAAGCAGAAGACGCTCACCTTCACCTTTCCGGAACATCTGGTCTAGCTCTCCTGGTACTTATCAAGGTCTCCGTGGTGATGTCCTCAATGAAGCAGAAGACGCTCACCTTAACCTTTCCGGAACATCTGGTCTATCTCTCCTGGTACTTTTTCAGGGCCTCCATATGGATGTTTCTTCAGTTCGTATTTAGCTTTCGTTTAACCATATATGGAATTACTACCATGTGAACATTACTGATGTCATCGTCATATAAAAGAAAAAATCAACGCACTGGTGATTGCAGATGTTTTTATTTTCCTCTGGTTAAAGTATAATATGCCAACATGTTTTGAAAACAGATCCAACTGAATTAAGTAAATTGTTCCAGATTATCTAACTGATGAACGTGTCTAACCTCTCGTGACCATGATAATATTTTCATACACGAGATAAATGAGATTGTCTTGTCAGACTTAAATACACGTTGAAGGCATGTACACCGTTAACGTGCACCTGTCTCTCAATGTTAGAAAATAAAGATTAACTCGAACAAAAATAGCTTTTCTGTTTACATTTTCATATCGATTTTCGGTGTTTATGACGTCACATATTGTTCCATATGAGCGTACATAGTGATTGTCCACGTTGGAGGAGTACCCAGAATATTGGAACGTTTTGAATACATATTTGTGTATACGATATAGTTCGACCATAAAGCTATTTAACGTATAGATATTCGACCACAATAAAGGTAATTCCGTTTGAATACTGGAGAATGATCGATCGTTACACCTACCGAACTTTTTATGATAAATGAATAGAGCTATTTTTGTATCGTATTCTAAAAGTTTCTACCTATACGAGTAGACTCTGCCCATACGAGTAGGCTCTACATTTACGAGTAGGCTCTACATATAAGAGTAGGCTCTACCTTTACGAGTACGCACTACCTATACGAGTAGGCTCTACATTTACGAGTAGGCTCTACATATAAGAGTAGGCTCTACCTTTACGAGTACGCACTACCTATACGAGTAGTCTCCACCTTTACGAGTAGGCACTACCTATAAGAGTAGGCTCTACCTATACCAGTACGCTCTACCTTTACATGTAGGCTCTACCTATACCAGTAGGCTCTATCTTTACGAGTAGGCTCTACCTTTACGAGTAGGCTCAACCTTTACGTGTATGTTCTACCTTTACGAGTAGGCTCTACCTATACGTGTATGTTCTACCTTTACATGTAGGCACTACCTATAAGAGTAGGCTCTACCTATACCTATACCAGTACGCTCTACCTTTACATGTAGGCTCTACCTTTACGAGTAGGCACTACCTATAAGAGTAGGTTCTACCTTTACGTGTAGTCTCTACCTTTACGTGTAGTCTCTACCTTTACGTGTATGTTCTACCTTTACGTGTAGTCTCTACCTTTACGTGTAGTCTCTACCTTTACGTGTATGTTCTACCTTTACGAGTAGGCTCTACCTATACCAGTACGCTCTACCTTTACATGTAGGCTCTACCTTTACGAGTAGGCACTACCTATAAGAGTAGGTTCTACCTTTACGTGTAGTCTCTACCTTTACATGTAGGCTCTACCTATAAGAGTAGGTTCTACCTTTACGTGTAGGTTCTACCTTTACGTGTACGTTCTACCTTTACGAGTAGGCTCTACCTTTACGTGTAGGCTCTACCTTTACGTGTAGTCTCTACCTATACGTGTAGTCTCTACCTATACGTGTAGTCTCTACCTTTACGTGTAGTCTCTACCTTTACGAGTAGTCTCTACCTTTACGTGTATGTTCTACCTTTACAAGTAGTCTCTACCTTTACGTGTTGGCTCTACCTTTACGTGTTGGCTCTACCTTTACGTGTAGTCTCTACCTTTCAGGAAGGATTATCCTAACTTACAAACGAAAGTATACAAGTTTCAAGACATTTCTGAAACAAAGAACGTAACGGAAGTGTTTACTCCACCCGGTATGTGATGGCAGACGCGTTTGAGAAACAAGAATCTCATTCTTTCCTAACAAATACAATGTTCTGAACTCATTATAATAATTCGAACTGCCGTTCTGCAAATGGATGTTTTGTTATGAAATTGCTGGCGTTTGATCAGTGCAGATCATGCACTGTTTGAACTTATATCAATGAACTGATGCTTAAAACTCTCTTGGATAGTTGGTGATACAGAAATGTTTATACCATAAATGCAAACGTACACTACAGTAAGGAAACACTAGAGATAATGGGAAATGCAAAGCTGTTAAGTCAGAAACGTCCTGTTTCTCGATTGCTGTTTCTATTCCGAAAAAAGGAAACAAAACAAAAACAAACAAACAAAAACAAAAAACAAACAAACAATATTAAAATACCCTGAAATACACATTATTCTATCTAGAACGTGTCGATACAAATCCATTGCTGACAACACCATTATGTGTCTGTAGTATCTATTTGACAGGCAGATACTATACACATTGAATTACATTATTTTTTTAAGCTGAAAGGGAATTTTGTAATCGGTAAAAAAAAAGGGACAATCTTTACTAGACTTAGTAAACTTGACATAAATCGAGTTTGTGTACAGTGTTAGACACCGTACTCGTTGGTCAAAATTGATCAGACTACACTCATGATAAAATGTGAGGACAAGCGCTTAGACGATACGTCCATCAGGATCACTCAAACGCTAATGAAAATAATTCTGTACGAATGTGAGGACAAGCGCTTAGATGATACGTCCATCAGGATCACTCAAACGCTAATGAAAATAATCATGTACGATCAAAGATCTATGTGAAACAAGACAGATTGTTTGTGTATTAAATGGCGAATCCAGTGTTTAAAAAGAAAGTTGTGGTTTGTTGTGATAGCGGACGAACAGAAAACAATATTCGAGGTCCATTCTATTTCATATATTTTGTGGTTTGTTATGATGGCGGACGAACAGAAAACAAGATTCGAGGTCCACCATGTTATATATGTTGTGGTTTGTTATGATGGCGGACGAACAGAAAACAAGATTCGAGGTCCACCATGTTTTATATGTTGTGGTTTGTTATGATGGCGGACGAACAGAAAACAAGATTCGAGGTCCATCATGTTATATATGGTGTGGTTTGTTGTGATGGCGGACGAACAGAATACAAAATTCGGTTTGTACCTTCATAAAGAATGTAACATATTGAGAAATTCAGTCTATAAGGACGTACCGATAGTTTTCAAAATCTGACGAATCATTTACAAGAAAAGCAAATATTTAGAAAAAAATTTTACTTGTACAGTTAAACGTACGAGTGACGGGTATATTACCAATTCTGAGATAACACAAAAAAACTTTTCAAAAAGTAAACCATTCCGAAAAAAAAATTGACAACTCAGATGAAGAGAGATTTCAGGGAAGATATAGGGATGCAGAAAACGAATAATGCTTATGTCCACGATAAAATAAAATTGTCATATTTAAGTACATATCAACATATATCACAGTTTGCTGATGACGCGAACAACCGCGGGTGAGAAATATTTACAAAAGTGTTCTCTGAATAGCGTATCTTCTTAATAATGACCCCAGCACGTACTGCGAAAGATACACATACAAAACAATCAGGACGAGCCGTGTAAATACAAAAACATGATCTGCTTAATATGATATGATGTAACGACAATATTGAACATCAAAAATAATTCACCATTAACTTATCTTGATTATTGATATATCACAAGGTTGTAGGATGTATGTCACAATACGGTTCATACGTATCTTCTTAATTAATTCAGTTCATTTCATTCTAAATCCTTAATTTCAATTTAATATATTCAATTTTCAAAGCATGTTTTGATACTTAAAACATAACGTTTTGTATCTATATATATATATATATACGGTTGCGGTGAGATTTTCTTATTTGGAGGTAAGTTATTTATTTTATAAGCGTTGTAGATATATTACATATGTATATATATATACATTCCAGATGCTTTAAATTGCCGTGAACTTCAATTATTAAACAATTATTGATTATTATCATTTCAAGACATTGGTTATGCTCAAGGAGTGGAAAGTTAAAAAGTCTAGTAAACGAATGTTCTGTCATAAACAATACCTTCTGTGTTCAATGGACCCAGAAGACTGTTTATGACAGGATATTGATCGTAAGTCCTTTGTCAACGAAGCCACAATACTCATGAAAAAGGTCTTTCAGACACCAATCCATCCAACGGTGTTCATGATGTGAACAGGACATTGATTAATAAATGTATAATAATTTATATATACATCAAACGCTGTACCGTATTGAAATTTCCATTTGATTATTTTGTCTCCTCGACACTTCATTTTCTTTCTAATCCGTATATTTGTATTCATCCTTTGAAACGTTGTCATTCTGGTATACAGCTGATCCTAGTAACAAGCGGGTCTGTAGAAATTAAGATCTACGCCTAATAGACACCATCAAACTTATCTGTTTGTACACTGCACTTAAAAAAACAGTACAAGTGTACTACTGTCCTGTTTGTGTACTTTGCGGTTTCATGTAAAACCTGTATGAAACTTCTTGCATTTTTCCGGAAAAATATACGTCACCTTGGTAAATACTAGTCTCAATATACCGCCCTTCTCTTTAGCTCTTTCGACTTGTAGAGGTCACGAGTTCGAATCCAAGTGGAGGCACTGGAATAAATAATCACCCATTTACAGTTGTCTAACGCTGGTTATATACTCAGCAATGTGTTCAGTCGTTCTTTAACGGTGAGTCTAGAAACGTGTCTCTTACTGTTCGTCCATTGCTCTCGTCAACTACCTCTACGAGGAGTTCCGAATACGTCAGTCCCATTCTGACCACAATAGGTGCATTGATATCTCTATCAGATGCAAGCGAAATCTGCATCTTGCCAAGAAAGTGACAGTTTGCATCTGTAGTATACAATGGAGACATGTCACCTGTGTTTAGAAACATGGGAAGAGACAGGCACTTTTGACCTTTTCTATTGACATACAAACTCATTTTTGTCACGAAATCGCCTATGCGCACAGTTTCCCCTTTGCCAATCTGTTCACTATATATATCGGTACACAGATCTACCCCACTGGCGTTGAATCTTTTGTCCTCGTGATGGTCATGCCTATGGAATGGTAATGCTATGGATAATCCATACGAGTGTTTTGCGTCCATTTTTATTATTGGTGCAAACTCATGTCCATATAAAACGGCGCCTTTCAGCACAGCCATTTCCGGTTCATTCGGCATAAGAATGGTCATATCTGGGAACTTCCTCCGCATTAAGCCTTGGATGCTTGCCGACTGAGCAAAACCACCGACCATGACGATTGTCTTCACGTTCCTGCCTCTTTTAGAACTAAGAACTTTCATGACGTGTGTCAAAATTTGCTCTCCAGCAGATTTGAAAAATCCATTGAAGATATCTGGATCAATGGTAATATTATCCCCGTGCATTTTCACCAGATCCCCGAACTCGGAATTGTCTACCTTGAGTTGAAGGGGTTTTTTTTCATTCACTTCATATATCCTCCGCAGTATTGCTGGTACTTTGATTGAAACATAATCTGTAGAGGTGGGATCAAACACACGCTTTTTTGACTCGAATTCTTTGTGAAGTGTTAGTAAATCCCCGCGGAAACTTTGAGCAAACTTGTCCATTACCTCGAAACCAATAACCTTCATCAGGAACTCGACGAAAGCGCCATCTACCCGTATACCGCCAAACACCACACCACAGGTAGTGTGAAGTTCGTTAATCTTGTTTTCCTCGTCAAACTCGTGGATTGTCGTATCAACAGTTCCACCTATAGGAAATGTAGAGACAAGTTTGTATAGCGGGTTAAGAATATGAGCAGTACAGTATAATCAGCCTGCTTCCGGAGTGTCAATGAAGTATTACAAAACCTCTCACAGATAGTAATGGAAAACTTTTATCTAGCTTAGTTTAGACAGAAAACAAGAAAAGAAAAATGCAATGATCTGCTTGTGGTGTTATGTTAACATTAGTCGTGTAATTTAAATTTCAGGGATGTTCTTATTGGAATGCTTTATTGTTAAGTCACGTGAACCTACCACCCATGTCAAGAACCATGTAGTGAAGACCCTGTTTCTGAATGCAGATTATTTCACCATTCCGTGTATTAATACGATGCAGGTTACTGATCTGACAATACATTGCCGCTGCTTCCGGTTCCGGTACGAGCACTACATCCGGTATACTAGCCTAGAAGAAAAGAAAGTATCCTTTTACCACAGGTACCAGCCTCTTCTGCCGATAGACACTCATACTAAAAACAAGGTGTGTAACTCTGTCGGCCTAGCTAAATGGCCCAATTTTTGGGAAATCGTGATTTCTCTAAATCGTTAGAGAAATATCGCTGAGAATGGCACGAATCGACAGCTAAATTTTTTTTCTTAAATCTGGTATACGAATAATTTCATAGCATGCCCTTAATAAGCTTACATATATATAATGACGTGTACAATTATTACCTGTTTAGCGGCTAGTCTAAGAAACTGCTTGGCGTCGTCTGACCACTCTGCCGGATGTGTGATCACCCACCGGAAGGCGAAATTATCCTGGACCCACTGAACAGTGCAGCCCTTCATCGTTGTGGCCAGGTTCTCAACCAAGGCTGACTTCAAAGTCTTCAGTACAGTGCCGTAGATCATGGCCGCCCTAAGAGGTTTCCCCGTATCATCTTGAATACTTGAAGTCGAGTTGAGGTTCTGCAAAAAATAAATAAATAAATAAATAAATAAATAAAATCGAATTTTACAGTTACATGACAACTACATCAACAAAAATGTCCATTTATAGTGTCTGTTTTACCTTTAATGAATTGGTTTTCATATAAATTGATTTGATTTGATTTGATTTAATTTGATTTAATTCAATTTTTCCCCTGTAAAGAGCTGCTGTGCCATACACAACAGTAATTCATTGTCAATTTCCATTATTGACTCAACTATGAAGTATGACGTTTCGTTATTATCAAAAATGTCACGAATCATGTGACGTATCACAGTTATAAAACAGTACGTTGTTCATTGACTACAAAATCATTTAGCTAATGGGGGGATTTGAAGGCATTAATAAGCTGATGTAATAATGACGACCAGGTGGAAAATGGATATGAACAGCCAAGGTGATGTGTAGAAATACGTAGGACAGACAAATAAATTATAGAGAAGACAGTGACTTTATGTTAGTCATGGGGATATATGTAGGGTGAAAACCTTTACATTTAATGGGCTCACTATGTAACATCGGGATGGAATTAAACATTAAAAATTAATTGAGCTATCACAGTCATTTCCTTCCCAGCTATAATATTCAGGAAACTATAAGCTGTGGGAAATTGACCAGAATGAATGAAAGAACCGCTGAATAAAGAGTAGCGGTCATTTAAAATGAGACTTTTATTTAATAAAGATTTCAAAGTACGTGCGACATTGACATAGTGTAGGTAAAGAATTAGATTCAAGGGATTATTGACACGGAAACTTGTGGTCGACCTAGACACTGTAATGTAGATACCCAGCCTAGTATTGATTGTCACGATATTAGAACGTGGTTATGCACAGTGATGTGTATGAAGATAGCATCCGTATCCAGGGTGCTGGAGCTTTCACTGTCAGTCGTTTGTATAACAATGACGAATCCACCTAAATAATGCAGCCATGTCAAGTGAGTCTCTAGTTCCACATGGGAATAGTGATCATCGATAATCTGAATGCTTCAGTACCGACAAGGTTAAAGACGTGTCACAGTATTAACACATCGTGTCAACTATAACAATGCTTTTCTTACAGACAGAATCTACACAAAAATCAAACATCTTATCACATCCATAAGAATTACTAGAAATTACTTAGATTTCGCGAACAACTTATTTCGCGAACTTACTTGTTCAGACACAATCGCAAATACTGGATTTCGCGGAAGCTGATCTAGAAATGACTGAAAATTCGCAAATTGTCAGCTTTTAGAGACATTCTTCAAGACTCCTATGTCAGTAACCGAATCAACACGCGTTATTTTCGTACAAACAATCACAAGGAATTTTAATTCGGGATTGACTCGTATAAATGCGAAAATAAGTCCCACGCGAAATATAAGTGATTTGCAGTATTTGTTAAATCGTCCACCTATGTTTTTGTCCCGGATATGATGACATATGTTCATATAACAAAAGATTGTACAAACCATGCACACGAGAACAACACTTTCCAATAGAATTTTTAAATATATACAATAAATTGCCAAATAAAAAAAGTTTAAAATGCATGAAACAGCTGTTCGGATTGTTTGGCACGTTTTAAGCAATTGGACTCGTGGAACGGTTCAGAATATTCACACGTGCTTGACATTCTTTTGGAATTATCAGAAATATCAAAATTTATTGAGTAATTGATCTAATTCCTCATCATATACAGATGTTTTTTGTCGATTAATTTTCATTCATCTCCTATGTTTCAACGATTTAGGCCCGAAGTATCACTGACGAGTCATAGACGGACGAAACAGCTGTTTGATGCAGTTTTACTTCATTCCATGACTTTTCTGTAACTGATTCTAAATCAGTATTGAAAAGTGTTATTCACACCTGTGCGTATTTTGTACAATCTTATAGAACGTATCAGTGATGCTAGGGGCATGCTTCATCTAATTCCACTGTCTGTACATTGTCGAGATCTAGCCACCAAAGCGTCCGTTTAATCAATAATGAATATGTAAAATTGTATAAAGAAAATAAGATAAAATACAAATATCAGAGATAATAACAACGGTTAAAAACCACGTACTTCATCTGTCAACAGCGCCATTTTAAATCGCCGGAAGTAGTACCATCCGCCATTGACCTTGTCGGCTGAAAGCTGACTGTACTTCCACTCTGCCTCATAACCAAATGAGTGGAACCGTTTCTCGGGGGTGAACAGGACGGATGTTGGTGCCTTCATGGTAGTCAGGCGAGGATTCCCTGAAATCCATGTCTTATTCATAAACATGGCTGTTCTGTCTTTGTTCAAATCATCAACGATACCAAAACTGTAGCCAGAGTAGGTGGAGCCTATGTCAATGGCGGCGATAATATCCGCCACTCCATTGGTGAGGCCGGCGGGAGAGCAGCGCACCCTGAAACGTTGTAATATTTAACAATTAAACTGGTCTATCTTGTCGATGATGATATTGTAATCACAAACAAACTGGTGCTACAGGGAAAAACGACGTCAATATACAGATGTCAGAGGGTACTCTAAGTTATACAAATATATATGGGTACTCTAAGTTATACAAATATATATGGGTACACTTAGTTATACAGATGTCAATGGGTACACTTAGTTATACAAATGTAAATGGGTACTCTAAGTTATACAAATGTAAATGGATACACTTAGTTATACAAATGTAAATGGGTACACTTAGTTATACAGATGTCAATGGGTACACTAAGTTATACAAATATCAATGGGTACACTAAGTTATACAGATGTCAATGGGTACACTAAGTTATACAGATGTCAATGGGTACACTAAGTTATACAGATGTCAATGGGTACACTAAGTTATACAGATGTCACATGGTGCAATAAGTTATACAGATGTCAATGGTACACTTAGTTATACAGATGTCAATGGGTACACTTAGTTATACAAATGTTAATGGGTTCATTTAGTTATACACATATCAATGGGTACACTAAGTTATACAAATATATATGGGTACTCTAAGTTATACAAATATAAACGGGTACACTTAGTTATACAAATGTTAATGGGTACACTTAGTTATACAAATGTTAATGGGTACACTTAGTTATGCAGATGTCAGAGGGTACTCTAAGTTATACAAATATAAATGGGTACACTTAGTTATACAAATGTTAATGGGTACACTTAGTTATACAGATGTCAGAGGGTACACTAAGTTATACAAATATCAATGGGTACACTAAGTTATACAGATGTCAATGGGTACACTAAGTTATACAGATGTCAAATGGTACACTTAGTTATACAGATGTCAATGGGTACACTAAGTTATACAGATGTCAAATGGTACAATAAGTTATACAGATGTCAGTGGGTACACTTAGTTATACAAATGTCAATGGGTACACTTAGTTATACAGATGTCAATGGGTACACTTAGTTATACAGATGTCAGTGGGTACACTTAGTTATACAAATGTCAATGGGTACACTTAGTTATACAAATGTCAATGGGTACACTAAGTTATACAGATGTCAATGGGTACACTAAGTTATACAGATGTCAAATGGTACACTTAGTTATACAAATGTCAATGGGTACACTTAGTTATACAAATGTCAATGGGTACACTAAGTTATACAGATGTCAATGGGTACACTAAGTTATACAGATGTCAAATGGTACACCTAGTTATACAGATGTCAATGGGTACACTAAGTTATACAGATGTCAATGGGTACACTAAGTTATACAGATGTCAAATGGTACACTTAGTTATACAGATGTCAAATGGTACAATAAGTTATACAGATGTCAGTGGGTACACTTAGTTATACAGATGTCAATGGGTACACTTAGTTATACAGATGTCAATAGGTACACTAAGTTATACAGATGTCAATGAGTATACTTAGTTATACAGATGTCAAATGGTACACTTAGTTATACAGATGTCAAATGGTACAATAAGTTATACAAATGTCAATGGGTACACTTAGTTATACAAATGTCAATGAGTATACTTAGTTATACAGATGTCAATGGGTTTACGTAGTTATACAGATGTCAATGAGTACACTAAGTTATACAGATGTCAAGGGGTTCATTTAGTTATACAGATGGCAATGGGTATACCTAGTTATACAGATGTCAATGAGTACACTAAGTTATACAGATGTCAGTGGGTACACTTAGTTATACAGATAACAATGGGTTCATTTAGTTATACAGATGACAATGGGTATACTTAGTTATACAGATGTCAATGGGTACATTTAGTTATACAAAAGTCAATGGGTACATAAAGTTTTACAAATGTCAATGGGTACACTTAGTTATACAGATGGCAGTGGGTACACTTTGTTATACAGATGTCAATGGGTACACTTAGTTATACAGATGTCAGTGGGTACACTTAGTTATACAGATGTCAATGGGTACACTAAGTTATACAGATGTCAGTGGGTACACTTAGTTATACAGATGTCAGTGGGTACACTTAGTTATACAAATATCAATGGGTACACTTAGTTATACAAATATCAATGGGTACACTTAGTTATACAGATGTGAATGGCTACACTTGATTACATATATGATAACATGGATAATATGGTCTTTTTAAAATTATGTAGATCTGGGACGGGTGTTCGAGATTGAGAAGAAATAGCTACACAAACACATTTATTTATTTATTCATTGAGTAAAGTTCTAGAATATAGGATGAAATAGAATGACCTTACCTAGCGAGGGATTCTCGCCCTCCGGAGTCAACCGATCTATGCTGCCTCATTTCTGCATCTGGTATAGCATCATCAGGAATCGTCTGAAGAAAAAACCAGAAAATGTATCTTTAAGATCGATAGGAAAATAGACGATAAAGGAACTGCTAAGGAAGATAAAAAGTAGATAGTGATGAACTACAGAAATCTGAAAGGTTCCATCAGGAAAGCAGATCAGAGTGAGCTGTGTTTGTCTGACAAGCTTAACAAAAGCCCACTAAATCCAAAGGACGTTGATAAATCCTGCAATTTTGCAGATTACCGTAATATTTTAATCCCTTCATGAAGTCTTTCGGTTAGGTAGGTTTCAATGCTATCTTCGTTTGCTTTATACTCGGTTCAGTTACTATCGAGCCAATACAAGCATTCTAGTGTCATTTCAGAACATGAAAATTCCATATACCACCATAGTATTTGAAAGAAAAAAAACCCCCAAAAACACACACACATGAAAGGTCAGAAGAACAAAGAAATGCAGAATGCGATGACAGAAGACGGAAGTGTAAACTTGAAACGAGTCGCAATGTATACAACAGCATATCTTTCAAGAGAAGAAAGTCGGTATTGAACGTAAAAAAGGAATGTAATAAAAAAAGATAATATCACGAAAGATGACATACTCCAATAGACATACATTTATGGCGTGTGAAAATAACGGCATGTCCCTACGTCGCTTCAGATGCGAGGATCACTTATAAACAGGTTTGATACTTTAAAATCCGAATTCAAATTGAACTTTAATTTATCATTTTAAACTAAGTGAAAAACATAATCTTAATTCAAACTCTAAAAACAATAAAACTAGGACAAAGTATAAACAAAAGAAAGGTGATCCGAAGACTCCTGAACAAATGCAAGGAGAATAAGAGGTGTTCCAGATGAGTAAGCGTCTTCTGCTTCAGGAAACAACCCCTGTCATACTAACAGGCATCGACAACATCCAACAACAAAAAGTATTCTTATTACAGCACCTCATGATATAAATAATTTCAGTAAATGTAAGTTGTCATACACTTTAAAGTAAATATTCCAAAACATAATCAACTCTGCAGTCTGAAACTCATGTGGTTGACTATATGGTTCGAGCCGCTAATTAATTTCAAGTTTACATCATAGAACTTGATTCAAAACGAGTATGACATTAATATATAAAGATGATAACTATTACAAAACCTAAACGTTTACACCACAGATATATATTTATATACATATGGTTTATGTTTAAGATAATGAAAATAACAAAATAAGTTTGAAAGTTATGACCATTACTAAAATTCTAACATCGATCTCGTTTCCAAATATTAAAAACGCCAAATATTGTAAATAGACCTCATCAATCCAGTCTGGTCTCTCCATATACTGGTTATCATCGGGGCGATGTGTTCCACTGTCTCCCCCATTTTCAAACATCAACTGGTCGTCAGTAGGCTCTGCTGTGGTGTTGTTATTTTTAAACTTCTTTTTTCGTAGTGGTTTGAGATTTATTGGTTCCTCGTAAACGACGGAGTTAGTACTCAGATTGGAGGTTCTCTTTTTCACAGTTTTTTTCTTCGGGTTTTCACTATTAGGTCTCGATGACTTGTTAAGATTCTTCTGGGACTCTTTCCGTTTAATCGTAGCTCCACCCTTCAGCGGCATTTTGTATATGGAGGAGCGGATGTTACGGCACCACCACCGGTATCTGTGGTGTCTGGTCTGTAACTTAGGCAGCAGATATTTTCAGCGAGGAAAGAATAAATGCGTTTCCTATCTTGATTATACTTCGGAAGTCATATTTCATACGCAGACTACTTCACAAGGCACGCTTTTTTGACCCCGTATGGCTGTCCGATAACACTATCACTTTTTACGACGGTAATGTCAATGAGAATCCGCTTTTCGAGAAGAAGGATTCCAAATGAAGGTATTGTGAAGTCTATTCCACACCCCAGGTCGTTATCTTGTTACTCTGGTCCAGACAAAACTTCTGTACCTATCTATATTCAACGCATCCTTTATGCATGCCATGAATTTTGCATGCGTTCTTGTATGTTGGTAACTGTGGTTGATAAGTGGATGACACTTGTGATGGAACCTATTGTAGCTCCTACAATGTTCTCGCTGAACCATTCTGTGTTTAACCACAGCAAAGCAAAAGAAACATGATACATTCTGGTTCCTCTTCCAACACATATGCACTTAATTCGTTCATTAATATGCGTGACTTGGTGATGAATAATATGACTGAATAAAGGTATCCAATTCTGCGTCTATTTCAGGGCCACCCTTTAGAGAATAAAATGAATAAGCTTTCCATAAAGGTTGTAGTTTTTAAAAAGAAACACGAGACTTTGTAGAGTTTTTCACGTCACCCACCCATTAAAATGGCGAAACCGTAACTAAACATTACAAGTCATGGTAATGGTGTCAAATGAAATATTCATAATGTAAACGCTTATACACGAAACATACATTGTGCAATGTGTTCAGCACATGCGCATGCTTGTGGTATATGTCCTTGTATGTTCACTTGATATTCCCTCCGCTCGTGCTGATGGTAAAAATGAACGTAAAATTATCGGAGGCAATCCCCTATTGACTTCGCTGTAACCTGCTTTCTTGGTTGATAATCGGGATTTAAAAACATCAATTCAAATGGATTGGATACGACTGAAAATCAGTTCTTGGAAATGTTTTATCGTCGGCATGTTACTTACATGAAAGATGAAATATGATATAGCTTAAACAATGTACATTTTAAGTACATATAACAAAGGCTTGTCTTTAGGACAAGATAACTGGGTTAGTGATTCTCCAAGACTTTCTAAATGTGTCTGTATATTGAGTTGGACACAGATGTACCCGGATGTCACATTTCGCAGACAACAGTCAGTATAGCTTGATTGGTTGATTTAGCTATCGACTTCTCACTCTTCAATCCGTATGTTTATTCCAATTAGGCTTACAGCGACTCATTTTAAACAAAAAACATTGATTGGAACACACTGAATTATGCATTATAAGCAAAAAGCTTCGATGATCACGCAAAGCTGGGCGTTCATGTGCATGGAGTTTCTACCACGATTTGTTTTTAAAATTGGGAATTTTAAAAAATGTTATTCTTTAACTCTCTGTCTTGTTAGAATTTATTTTGTAGTCATTCAAATACATCTGATTATAGTGGACATTACATTCAGTTTTTTGACAAATATCTTACTGTGAAGGACTTGTATGCAAGCTCTTTTATTTATTTATTTATTTCACTGAGAGAGGGAGAGAGAGAGAGAGAAGGGAGAGAGAGAGAAGGAGAGAGAGAGAGAGAGAGAGAGAGAGAGAGAGAGAGAGAGAGAGAGAGAGAGAGAGAGAGAGAAGGGGGGGGGGGGGGAGGAGAGAGAGAGAGAGACGGACGGACGGACAGACAGACAGATGCAAAAAGCGGTCACCAGTAGCAGATTTGACACCAAACACAACGAACGTATTGTAACCCAGAAATTCAATCATCCATACGCACCATAAATTCAGTACTGTTCTATTGAATACACAATATACTTAGCCCTGTTGTATTAGCTGATTGGCCTAGAAAAAGGTCCGAACGTGAATTCTATACACCAAGCTATTATATTTCCCATTATCTGCCTCACAATTATCTAGAAAACCATTTACAATTGTTCTAGGTTACAAATAAGCAATATTATTTATCAATTTGTTTAAATAATGCAAAGTCTTTACAGGAAAGATGACATCTAGAAGCGAATATTTATCAGGCGGTATCAGAAAAAGGCAGCCAATGATGTTTAGATGTTTAACCTGTTCAAACAAAGAAATAGTAAAATTCTTTGTTTAAATAGCTGTATTATTGATTGACCTAGTTAATGTGTACTGTACAAAGTTTATTTTAGCATGTAAACTGTAGTTATATTTACTCTAAGGGAAGGGATTGTTCCCGGTATCCCTAATACCTTAATAGAAATCGACTGTTGAATAAAAGATACTAGGTTGTATCCTTGCGCGACTTTACAGGATTGTACAAAAGACACGCAATTGAACTTCATTTTTCAGTTCAAAGTTAGAAAAAGATACGGTATAGTTTAGTAATGATATAAGCTCAGTCATACAATTTCTAGCAGGACATAGGGGAATGTTTAAAAAAAAAACAATGACAGAACCATGACGTTTTCTAGATCTGGTCTAAATCTGAGACTTAAAAAAGATTAGCTAGTAATCGACGTCAGAAACTATGTACAATGTATATGAACTATTTAGCATGTTAGAGAGGTAATCTTAACGTCGCTGAATAGTTTTATGTAGAATTGAAGAAGACGACACTAACCCTTACTGAACACCTGGTCTTATTCTCCTTGCTCTATGTTTTCATAATGAATCTTATTTGTTTACTCTTCTTCTGAATTTGAGTTTGAACTTTAACACGCGGAGATCATCTCGAGTGTGTTGAAATGACAATTTATCAAAATCTAGCATGTTGTTATCGATACATAACTCAACAACAAAACAGTGGGTGCCCTTTCTTTTTCTGAAAAAAATTACCCTGATGTCCCTTTGTGTTTCTTAACGGTACAGTCGTTAAACACACACGTAACTCATATCTATTTACTGTAGTGTATAGTATTCGTTTCAACAGGAGGATGGACCTGATGAATCTCAAACACCGGACCCAATCTATTAACAGGAAACAGCAACGCAAAGAACATAACACTATTCCTTGAAACATGTACAAACGGCCAAACTTGCACAAACCAGCACGGACAGTGGCAAATAGACATTTATACCCAATTGTAACATTGACATTTAAAGATATTTGTTACATAGAAGAATGTACCCTGTTACCGTCACAGTTCCTTCTAGCATATACGTACATATATGTGCAAGGAGACATGTGTACAAGTAGGCTCAGAGGAAACCGCAATACCTAGGGACTTAGACGCCATGACTCTCCACGTTCGCTCGACGAGTCAAAGCCCGGTCAGTCAGGTGAACGGAGAGTGCGCTATCATGTCTCCGCTTGCTGGTCCATTGATAACATCAACTTATTTCTTTGTACCATCATAAGCATTGTGGCGTCACTTAAACAAAAATTAGAATTCTAACAACGAATTACTACAAAGCGAAGAAAAGACCGAGTGACGTCACACTAAGGAGGGAATATTCCTTACGGGTCTGTCAGAAACCAATTAGATCTTTTACCGTAGTCAGGATATTGCATCAACCATGAGACCTCACAAGGATCTCCTAAATATTCGCGCCCAACCACGATAAAACACTCAAACAGAACGAGGTAGAATGCGTTTACAAAACGGACTCGAGAACTGCAACACTTCGTATATGTGAGAAACAGGCAGGAGATTCGGAGTCCGAATTCTATAAAGAAAATATATTCATCCGATCAGAGCTCAGGCATTTTCAGTCCTGGTTCAATAAATTGGCTTTCACAAATAATTCCAAACAAAATCATATAATTGACATGGTAAATACTAAAATATTCGGCAAGGAAAACACGCGGCTGGTCAGACTCTCAAATCTATTACGAGATATCGTCGACTGCAGTCCATTGTTACCATCTTGTGTACTTTTTATGTAATCTTTATTTCCATATCGTCACACCATTTTCTACCTTAGAGTACATGGGATAACTGTACCGCCGAATCAGTTGGCCGATTCTTTACCATTTCGTACACTAAGAAGTAAGAAGGTTATCGACACATTAATATGCGAAGGTTGTCGACAAGGAAAGGTACAAAGGTTGCCAATTCAGCAAAGAACGAAGGCTGTCAATATAATAGCACACGAAGGCTGTCAATACAATTACACAAGAAAGCTGTCGATACAATTACACAAGAAGGCTGTCAATACAATTACACACGAAGGCTGTCAATATAATTACATACGGAGGCTGTCAATACAATTACACACGAAGGCTGTCAATACAATTACACAAGAAGGCTGTCAATACAATAACACACGAAGGCTGTCAATACAATTACACACGAAGGCTGTCAATACAATTACATACGAAGGATGTTAGTACAATTACACGCGAAGGCTGTCAATACAATTACACACGAAGGCTGTCAATACAATTACACACGAAGGCTGTCAATATAATTATACACGAAGAATGTCAATACAATTACACGCGACGACTGTCAATACAATTACACACGAAGGCTGTCAATACCATTACACAAGAACACTGTCAATACAATTACACACGAAGGCTGTCTATACAATTACACACGAAGGATGTCAATATAATTACACACGAAGGCTGTCAATACAATTACACACGAAGGCTGTCAATACAATTACACACGAAGGCTGTCAATACAATTACACACGAAGGCTGTCAATACAATTACACACGAAGGCTGTCAATACAATTACATACGAAGGATGTTACTACAATTACACGCGAAGGCTGTCAATACAATTACACGGGACGACTGTCAATACAATTACACACGAAGGCTGTCAATATAATTATACACGAAGAATGTCAATACAATTACACGCGACGACTGTCAATACAATTACACACGAAGGCTGTCAATACCATTACACAAGAACACTGTCAATACAATTAAACACGAAGGCTGTCAATACAATTACACAAGAAGGCTTATCAATACAATTACACACGAAGG